AGAGAGAGAGAGAGAGAGAGAGAGGGAGGGAGGGAGGGAGGGAGAGAGAGAGCTCGAAGACACTTACTGTTCACAACCCCTCCTGAGTGGGCATCACGGTGGGTGGCGTAAGAGATGGCTTTTCTGCCAAGGTCATAGGCTTCCTCCACACTGAGGTCCTGCCGGTGCCCACTGTCCAGCACCCCATAGGCATACGAGCTTCCACTTCCAGTGGAAAAGAGGGGGGCACTCAGGCGCACCCCAAAATCATTTATGTAATAAAGACCGGGACCCTACGGAGAGAGAGAGAGAGAGAGAGAGAGAGAGAGAGAGAGAGAGAGAGAGAGAGACTTAATTAGAGCCCTACAATGCTTGCCTCTTGTCAGTCCTGCCCTCTTTCCTTCTGCCCACAAGACCCCCTGCATTTCTACGATGTCTGAATCACAAGGTCTCCCAGAAACCCCGAGGTCCTTTTCTCCCACAGCCACTCATTGCAGTTCCTCCTTTAACCCACAAGCCCTACACAGACGTCGGAAGGGCCTTTTCCTCAGCTGGAGATGAGCAGCCCTGTGGAGGGGACTTTCCAAAGGCTTGCAAGGTGCCTGATTTACCTTGGGGGAATGAGGTTTAGCACCTCCCAAGAGGCTGTTGGAAAATGAGCCACCTCACAGGCCAGCCTAATGTGTAGTCAGATGGGAGGAGGGCGCCTCGTCATTCAACTGACTTGCTTGCTTGCTTGACTTACTGACCAATTCAATGGGCTCATCTTCTTGCCTAGAAGATTACCTCTCCCCTTCCATTCTCTTGTTCTTGTTTAGTTGTTAAGTCGTGTTTGACTCTTCGTGACACCATGGACCAGAGCACACCAGGCCCTCCTGTCTTCTACTGCTCCTGGAGTTTGGTCAAATTCATGCTGTAGCTTCGGTGACACTGTCCAACCATCTCGTTCTCTGCCATCCCCTTCTCCTCTTGCCGTCACACCTTCCCGTCATCAGGGTCTTTTCCAGGGAGTCCTCTCTTCTCTCGAGATGGCCAAAGTACTGGAGCCTCAGCTTCAGGATCTGTCCTTCCAGTGAACACTCAGGGTTGATTTCCTTCAATATGGATAGTTTTGTTCTCCTTGCAGTCCAGGGGACTCTCAAGAGCCTCCTCCAGCACCACCATTCAAAAGCATCAATTCTTAGGTGGTCAGCCCTCTTTATGGTCCAGCTCACTTCCATACATTGCTACTGGAACAACCATAGCTTTGACTATGTGGACCTTTGTTGGCAAGGTGATGTCTCTGCATTTTAAGATGCTGTTGAGGTTTGCCATCGCTTTCCTCCCAAGAAGCAGGCATCTTTTAATTTTGTGGCTGCTGTCCCCATCTGCAGTGATCATGGAGCCCAAGAAAGTAAAATCTGTCACTGCCACAAGGATATCTGCAAGCGGGATTTGAAGGCCTTAGGAATGGACCTCAACAGAGGAGAAACTTTGACATCTGAGCGTTCAGCCTGGAGGCAGGTGGTGCAGCATGGCCTCTCCCAATTTGAAGAGACCCTTGTCCAGCAGGCCGAGGCAAAGAGGCAACCCCATAACCAGCAAAATCAGGGAGCTGGACAGGGGGCAGATTGTTTTTGTCTTCAGTGTGGAAGGGATTGTCACTCTCAAATTGGCCTTCTTAGCCACACTAGATGCTGTTTGAAGTCCTCTATTCATGGCACGTTACCATAGTCTCTTGAAACTGAAGGATGCCTAATCTAAGTTGCATTCAGACTAAAATCTAGAGTCGACATACTGCCACCATGAAACCAGAGTGCATGCACCGGTGCCCCTACCACCCACCTACCACCCTTCACCTCTGCGAGCGCATCCCGGCTCTTTGCATATGCACGCAAGCATGCTTTGCTCCTCCATGAGCATGGTCCGCCTCTTTGCACAAGCACGCCCCGCCGACCCGCAAGTGCAGGGGGTTCCCCCCCTTGCACATGGACCCCACTCCCCCAAATGGCCTATGACCAGAAAAGGTTGGGGACCACTAAGCTAGAGAAGTGGTTTTACCCTTCCCTTCCTCTAGGGGCGCCATGGGACTATGCAGCTTTGCCCAAGGCTACCCAGGCTGGCCTTCCCCCTTGAGGCCCATTGAGGGAATTGAACCCTTGGCTCCTCAGCCAGAGACCTCCAACACTGAGCTTATCGGGCACTCCTGCTCCACCGAGGACCCTCCCCTCTCCCACCCCCTTCCCACGAAGCCAGTACCTTCTTGTCCCAGCCGCACACCATGCTGGCCACGGAGAGCCCCATCCCCCGGTACTCGGCCAGCATGTTGGCCAACAGCTTGGAAGCCGCCGAGACGCTGATGCGCTCCTTGTTGCGCAGGTAGTACAGCCTGGAGGGGGGGCGACAGGAGGGGAGGCGGGGAAAGACTCAGAGCATGAATACACTGGTGTATTTTTTTTTGGGGGGGTTGCCTTTTCCGTTTTGAACGGGCCGAATTCTGGAAGTTTCCATCCACCAACACCCACTCATAGATCCCTTCGTTTCCCCCACCTAGAGAAAGGCCTTCTTTTCATTAATGGTAAGTTGTGGTATAGTAGAAGGAAGAAAAAGAAGGTGCGGCCACAGTATTCCTAGGGAGTTGTAGTACTTCTCTGGGAGGTGTCCTCTATAGCAGAGGTCGTCAACCCCCGGTCCGTGGCCCAGTGCCAGTCCGTGGCCGGAGCCGGACCAGGCCGTGAAGACAGACCTCCTGCCCCCCCTGCATGCACTCCCGTCCCCACAGCTGCTTTGTGCATGTGCGCGGGGACCAGAGCCAGTGTGAGCGCTCCCCCACCCCTTCACACATGCGCCTGAGTGCCCATGCACCCGCACAAAGGGGTGGGTGCGTGGGCAGGCGGGCATGCAGGCACCCCTGTGCATGTAACAGGCAGACGTGCTCCCCCACCACTTCATGCATGCATCTGAAAGCGCGTGTGCACCCACACACACCTGCAGGGGGCGCCTTTCTCAGAGGCTCAGCTGGTCCGCGGTCCCAAAACCGTTGGGGACCGCTGCTCTATAGCACCTAATGAGCAGCCGGACTACAACTCCCAGGGACCAACACGGCACATCCTTCACACTCCACTACCACTTTAAGCCTTCAGCAACCACTGTAGTGGCCACGTTTGTATGCCAAAAGTGGCCATAGGTTGGATAAGTTCCTTTTTTGGGGGGGGGTGGACGCCATTTCCCAGAATCCCTCGGCCCACATGGCTAGAGAAGAAGAGGATCATTGCCCCAGTTGCCACT